CTTCGTTATAACTCGGATTTTGGCGTTCTTTATATCCTCAGAATCCTTGTTTCGACCACTACAACTTTATGTAGAGATATCGGGCTTATCTCACACTTTAATTTTGATGCTTATTTTTATTCTTTATTAAATATATATTTATAATAAAGTAATAAGCACACAAATACACATAATTCACACAGACTTAGAATATTTCATATTTATTACATCAAAAAGAGTTACAATAGTTGACCTAGACTATTACATCATCTAAAAATGCTTAGCCCCGAAACCCGAGCGTTACAGCTACATATATACATATTTTTTTTGCCCAAAACCCTCATGTGTACAGACGCAACAAAAGAATTTAATAATCATACGTGAATATAAACCACCACCATGGACTCCAGGGTCGGGCATGTTGAATAGTTGACATATCCAAAAACTCCCTGGCCAAATCAAGCTGCCTCTTCCGTATCTCCTTATCCCCCGCATACTGGGGTACCAACAGTCATCTCCGCCATTGTCTCAGTCGTCTGCCTCATATCCAAAAATTCCCTGGCCAGCTGCTGAAGCTCCACAGCCGGCGCAAACTCAGCCATGAATCTGGTCATGAAATTTGACCACGTCCTAGCCTCGACAGTTGGGGCTCCCAACGAGTCACCAACCGACTCTGACCAGTCTCTAGCTCTATCCCTCATACATCCCGCAGCAAAGCGGACCTTCGACCCTTCCGAGCAGAAGCTCGTCAACTGCGCATACTCAATGTTTGCGATCCATCTCCTGTTTTGTTTCAAACTTGAATAAAACAGTTGAACCTAAGAATTTTTTTGAAGCTTCTACTGATTCGAATTGGATAACTGCAATGAATGAGGAAATGGAAGCTTTATATCGAAATAAAACATGGAAAATTACAAATTTACCCTCTAATCGTAAACCCATTGGGTGCAAGTGGGTGTATAAAATTAAATACAAATCTAATGGTGAAGTAGAAAGGTATAAAGCTAGACTTGTAGCTAAAGGATATAGTAAAAAAGAAGGTATATATTACGGGGAGACTTTTTCTCCTGTAGCTAAAATGGTTACTGTTAGGGTTGTTGTTTCTTTAGCTGTCAATTATTCCTGGAAATTGTTTCAACTTGATGTTAATAATGCTTTTCTTTATGGGAATTGATGAAAAGGATGTTTTACTGAGAAATATAACCGATTATCAAAAACTTATAGGCAAGCTGATTTATTTAACCATAACTAGACCTGATATTTCCTTTACTGTTCAAACTCTCAGTTAATTTATGCATTCTCCAAGAAAATCTCATTTGGATATTGCTATGCGTGTGTTAAGATATCTAAAACAAAATCCGGGTAGAGGTATTAGTTTTAAAAAAAAAATCAAAAGCCTGGTTTGTGTGCATATGTGGATGCTGATTGGGCTAAATGTATTACATCTAGGAGATCTGTTACAGGTTATTGTGTGTATTTTCGAGATTCAGTAATATCTTGGAAAAGTAAAAAACAAGATACTGTTTCCAGATCCTCTACAGAATCTGAATATCGGGCTTTGGCTTCAGTTACTTGTGAAATTATGTGGATTATAAAACTTTATTATGATTTGGGAGTTAAAAATTTGTTTACAGTAAATGTTTTTTTGTGATAATGATTCTGCTATTAAACTAACTCTTAATCTTGTGTTTCATGAAAAAACTAAACATTTTGAAGTTGATGTTCATTTTGTTCGAGATAGAGTGTCAAAAGGAATTTTAAAAATTGTTAAAATAAGATCAGAACTTCAAAGGGCTGATATTTTTACTAAAGCTTTATCTTCAAAACAACATGATTTTTTATGTTCTGAAATGGGGTTATATGATCCGTTTAAGGTTGAGTAATTCATTCTCAATGTTTATCTTGAGAGGGGGTGTTAAAAGTATATGTTTATGAGCAAGATTAACATTGAGAAAGGGTTGCTTTACTTGGGTCATAACTGTAAGGTTTAAAGGTGTTTTAGTTTTGGGTGTATTGTGTATTATCTTAATAGCGCAATATTGTGTATTATCTTAATAGCGCAATACTGGAGCTCATTTGAAAGAACTTGGAAGCATGCACGGATCTTTATATTACGGGTTTAGTTTAATGGGTTGAACCGGATGTATATATAGGTGGTTAGTGTAATAGATTAGGTTCTTAATAGGTGAGCATACACTTAATCGAGTCTCTTCATTCTCTCATCTTCGTCTTCTTTAGATTAGGGTTTTAGTTAAATCCAGTGTTCTTTGTTCTGATTAAATGTTTAGTTGGTAAACTCTGTAATCTATTCTTGTTGTCTATTTTGTTTGAGGGTGAGTGTTATGTAGTGAGATTTTGATTTGTAAGTTTCCTGAAAACCAACTGGATCTTATTAAAAAAAATCTGTTGATGTCGTGATTAGATTTGTTGTCTGAGTTTTCATCATTTGAAGTTTACAAATGAAGTTCAACGTCAAAATGGAGTTAAAGATGAATTAATATCAATTTTTAATAATCTTTTACATTATTTGACACAACAAATAATCATTTTTGAATTATAGTCAACTAAAAATGAGATTGTTTTGGTGTTTGGGTTATAACTCGTTAACTCGTTTGCCCAAAACTATAGAGGGAAATGAATGCAAATTCTTATGAAACATAAAAGGATTGGTTTAACTAAGGTTGTCGAAATGGGGATCTTACCCAATATCGTTTTTTATTTTGGAAGATCGGAAAATCCTACCAGAATGAACTTATATTAAAATTTACTGGTAAGCTCTTGGATGTAAACTATATATTATAATTTGATATCGATTAAAACACCAATATAGAGTTAACTTCAACTTTTTAAAATGAAGCATGATTTTTGTTGTTGTAAACCATAAAAATAAGAAAGAAAACATGTTAATTACAAAAAGAAAACAAGATCATTATGATCTACAACTAAAGACTTAAGATCACAAATGAAAAATCATGATTGTAACTACCTTATAATTTGAGATGAAATGATGAATTGATGATGATCTATGAGGATTTGTAAATTACAAAAAGAAAACAAGATTTTAATTTGAATGGAAGAATTTTTGAAGCCTGACTATATAATAAAACCAAATAGATGAGAACGAATCGTGTTAAGATCTGAAAATTATAGTCGAAATCTTAAGATCCCATTATAGATCTTGTTCAGTCAGATCCTAGTTAGATCGGGATCGTTTTTTGCTTTTAAAATCTTAAAATCATAAGATCTTACCATCAAAATCTGGATCTCAATAACTATGAGTTTAACTCACCAATATTGACTTTTATTTTTTTTAAAAGAAATAGTTAACTTATTAAATAAGATTGAAATTATCAATAATGATTAAATGTTATATCACTTATTTGTATCAATTATCAATTTACCACCTAAAAATGTCTTTTATATAACATTTATCAAGTTATTATATTACTCATGAGAAGCAATCCCTCTCTATTTCTTATTTTTGTATGCTATCACTATCATATTTTGAATGACTAAAGTCATACTTTTTATCAAGGTTGCAAAAATCGTTCGACGTTAGCTAGTCGGTGGACTGGGGTCAAGGGATTAATCGGCTAGACGGAGATTAATTGGGGGATTAATCGGTTATCATTAATTGCTAATTTGTTGAATTTTAGAAAAAAAAATATATGATTAATATCATATCAAAGTTCGTAAATACCACTAATATGATAACAAAATAGGTTAATATGATTAATACAACACTAATCATGCCTCAAATAGTTTTCATTGAGATAAAATTGTTTCAAAATGTTAAAAATTCATCGTTTTATATAGGGGTGAGTAAAGACCGAACCGACTAAAGAAAAACCGACAAAACCGCAATAAACCACAACCGAAAAACCGAAACCGATGCAAAAACCAATGGTGCGGATTAAATTTTTGCAAAAACCGAAAGTCAACGGTTTGGTGTGGTTTCTATCCAAAAAACCGGTCCACCAAAACCGAACCGCACCGCAAGCGTGTATAGTAATAAATCAATCAATGTATATTATATACATGCTATTTAAAACACTTATAAACGATAATATATTTATTATATGTTTATTTTGTGTTTTTGTAAGACTATATGGGGTGCAAAAGAAATGTTCTATTGTTAGCTAAACGTACTAATCTATTACATGTAATAAGCTTGTAACAAATTATGTCAAAATCAACCACCTTCAATTATTAATTAGTTTCTAAGTAGTCACAAGTTATATTTTAAGCGACTTACAATTTTTGTTTATGTATTTTTGTTTTGAGTTGAAAATGAATGATTAAAAAAAAAACAGCACAATAAAAACTTACATGCATATGGTTTTCGGTTCTTACAGTTTTAAAAAACCGCACCAAAAAACATAAAAAACTGCACCAAATTCTAAAGATGGTTTAAAACCGAAACCGCACCGATACAGACCGAAACCACATTTAAAAACTGAAAAACCGAACCATTGCAAAACCGCACCCAATGGTTTTAAGAATACACAAACCGCACCATGCAGTTTGCGGTTCGGTTTGGCCTTAAAACCGCACCTGCTCACGCCTAGTTTTATAATGTTTCACTCATTATGTATGTATGGATTAATCGCTAGGTGCCCTCTAATCGATCAAGTAACGCCTAACGATTAATCGGAGATTAATCGGGATTTTTACAACATTTTCTATACGATATTTTTGCTCTTCGTAATGTAACTTTTAATTTAGTACATCTAAAAAAGTTTAAAGTAATATATTGTAAAGAAATTGTGTTGAAGCATATATTTATATTTATTCCAAAGCCAGTAGCGGTCTTATAATAAAAAGAAGAGATATTTCCGATCTATCCTAAAAATGTTTGCACCCAAATTTCGTAATGCTTTAGATTTTTAGTGGTCCATGGGTGAAGCTACTACGTAAATGGTGTTTCAACTTAAATAGTTAAATGGTGCATGTTTTTCAATGCATATGGTCAAAACCTTATATCAACGAATGACATAATCTTTAAATTGATGTGTAGGAAAATGGTGGCCGAGTACAATGATGAAGTCGTGAAACTATGTAGACAATTGATGAAAGTTTTCTCTCTGAACCTTGGATTAGAAGAGGATTATCTTCAAAACGCATTTGGAGGGGATGAAATCTCGGCTTCATTGAGAGTTAATTTTTACCCAAAATGCCCTCAGCCGGATTTGACTTTAGGAATCTCACCACATTCTGATCCAGGTGCTATCACCATTTGCTGCCTGATGATCATGTTTATGGCCTACAGGCTACAAGTCCGTAAAGATGATGCTTGGGTCACAGTTAAGCCAATCCCCAATGCTTTCATTGTAAACCTTGCGGATCAACTTCAGGTATTGCTCTATATCTGTATATGAACTCACACACATTTGTTTATATATGATCTTTATTTGTTCTGTACTTTGGTTGAGAAATTAAAGGTTCTAAGCAATGCTAAATACAAGAGTGTAGAGCATCGTGTGATTGTTAATTCAAATGAAGAGCGAGTTTCATTAGCCTTCTTCTACAACCCGAGGGGAGATGTTCCTATTCAGCCAGCCAAGCAGCTAGCTAGTAACAGGCAATGAACCTGCCTTGTACCATTCCATGACTTGTAATGAGTATCGTACTTTCATCAGGTTAAATGGTCTTCATGGGAAATCACAAGTTGAGTCTCATATGCTTATTCCATGTTAAAAAACTTTCATATTAATTACTTTTAGTGTGGACTCAGGACTCTTGCGCGAATTGGATGACTTCTATATATGCCGTATTTATTTCAACATGTATGATAAATTTAAAACTACTTAATTGAATATATAAACTGGTTGCATCCATTTTTTGTAGGAAAGTAATTCTGACTTGGTCATGTGCTGACCAAGTTTGGAGGAATAAGTGACTTAGTGGTCACCCGTTTTGTGGAGCACATGCAGATGGTAGTTTTTCGCTTATTTAGTTATTTCATTTCTTTTAAATTGATGTACGTTGTTCTCTTTTAGTGAGTCAGTGAATAAAAAGATAAACAGGGAAGATTATTCCTCCATCTTTAAACTCTCTATACTGTGTGTTTGTGTGTTTATTGAAGAGTATGAACCAACATTTGGTATCAGAGCTCGGTTCATGCCCAAGTACCTAAGACTCAACAAGATGTCAACAGATGCACAACAAGGAAAAGAGAGCGGTGGTGTTTCATTTCAATGCCCGATGTTGACGCCGACAAACTACACCACATGGGCAATTAAAATGGAGGCTATCATGGACGCTCAAGGGGTATGAGAGTCCATCGAAACACAAGCTGGAGAGGCTGTGGATGAGAAGAAGAACAAGATGGAGAAAGCTTACATCTTCCAGGCGATACCGGAAGACATCCTCCTACAAGTTGCCAAGAAAAAAACAGCAAAAGAGGTGTGGGAATCTCTAAAAACACGTTACTTTGGTGCTGATCGAGTGCAAAAGGCAAGATTGCACACGATTAAAAGTGACTTTGAAGCTCTTCGGATGAAAGAAGGAGAAACTATAGACGAGTTTGCAGGAAAATTAAGTGGTTTAAACTCAAAGTACAACAGCCTTGGATCGACTCTTGATGACAGCGTTTTGGTAAGAAAGCTATTGGATTATGTCCCATACAAATATCTTCAACTTGTGGCTTCAATCGAACAGTAGGCAGATATCGATACCATGCCATTTGAGGAGGCGATTGGCAGATTAAAAGCATATGAGGACTCCGCAGCGAGAACTCAAGTGGTGAAGCGAGCTTGTTGCTTACTCGTTCAGAAGGCAAACCGCCTCACAAATCTCATGGTGGAAGTTAATCTGTGGGTGGTAGAGGACATGGCTCGCATCAACAGGAGAGAGGTGGAAGAAGTGGTGGTAGAGGAAGAGGAAGCACACGGGGCAGGGGCGGTCGTGGCAAGCACTCATCACCACGAGACAACAACAATAGCCATTGGAGGGGAAGAGACAAAAGTCACATAAAGTGTTTTAATTGTGAGAAACATGGACACTATGCATCAGAGTGTCCCAATCCCAAGCAGAATGAAGAAAAAGCTAATCTCACTCAGACACAAGAGGAAGAAGCAGCTCTGTTGTTGACAGTTTGGGGAGAAGAATCTGATGATTGGGTGTTATTCAATGAAGACAAAGTCTTTCCGGTATCAAAAGGAAATGAAGAAGACACGTGGTACCTAGACAATGGCGCAAGCAACCACATGACGGGGGTACGGGAATACTTTGCTGAGTTGGATGAAAATGTAACCGGTCTGGTACGTTTTGGAGATGGGTCCAGAGTTCAAATTAAAGGCAAAGGAACAATTTTGGTGGAATGCAAAAATAAGGAGCAATTGGTCATTCCTGAGGTATATTACATCCCTGCTTTACGTAGTAATATACTTAGCTTAGGACAAATGACTAAGGAAGGTTATAGGGTTGAGATGTTGCATGAATTCCTACGTATGCATGATGAAAGGAACAGGTTAATAATGAAGGTACAACAATCAAAAAATCACTTGTACAAGATAGTTCTACACACCACACAACCTGTTTGTCTTAGTTCAAGGTTAGATGACACATCATGGTTGTGGCATGCAAGATTGGGGCATGTGAATTTTCGTGTTATTGAAGCAATGGTTGAAAAGGGGATGGTACAAGGAGTACCCAAAATTCATCATCCCACACAGGTGTGTGAGGGATGCTTGATCGCCAAGCAGACACGCCAATCTTACCCACAGGAAGCACAATGGCAAGCTGGTAATCCATTGGAATTGGTGCATGCGGATCTCTGTGGTCCCATAACACCACAAACTTCCGCAGGAAATCAATATTTTCTTTTATTTGTCGATGATTACAGCAGGTACATGTGGGTGTTCATGATTAAAACCAAGGATGAGGTGTTTCAAACCTTCAAGAAATTCAAGATGCAAGTTGAAAGTGAAGGTCAATACAAACTAAAGGCGTTACGTACAGATCGTGGGGTTGAATTCACGTCTACACAATTCACAAATTACTGCAACAATGAGGGAATCAAAAGGCAGTTAACGTCGCCTTACTCACCTCAGCAAAACGGGATAGTAGAACGACGTAACCGGACGATCCTTGGAGTTACTAGATCACTTTTGAAAGCCATGAGTGTCCTAGAAAGATTGGGGGGGGGGGGGGGGGGGGGGGGGGGAAGCTGTTCGACAGGCAGTTCAAATTCTAAACTGAGTTCCAATAAAAGGATTGAAAGATATGACTCCATATGAAGGGATACACGGAAGAAAGCCAACAATGGGACATTTTCGGGTCTTCGGATGTGTTGCGCATGCAAAGATCCCCTCAAATCAGCTTACAAAACTGAGCGACAGAAGCATAGCACTTGTCTACCTCGGAAACGAACAAGGAAGCAAGGCATATCGGTTGCTCAACCCTAAAACTAATCAAATATGTGTGGCTAGGGACGTGGTGTTTGAAGAAAACGTTAAATGGAATTGGGTTGAGGTCCAAGAGTTAGGGCCAATCCTAAGCAACACCTGGACAAAATTTCCAAGTGTGATAACTGAGCAAAATAATGTGGGTTTCAACGACCCAGTCCAAGATGAAAATCTGAGCCCTACATCACAACAGAATGAAAACGACTCGCAATCACCTCCATCACTCCCAGCACAAACGAACAGCAGTACAGGTGGACCATCAAATACCCTTCGTCATGCAGGGAGTATAATGACTCCAACATCAGAAGAAAGTCCAGAAGTAGACAGGTCCACATACGACGACACACCTGTACGTGGGTTTAGGTTATTGTCAGATATATACCATGAAACCCAACATTTAGAAGATGAATCAGATGAACTGATGTACGCTGGTGAAGAACCAACGACGTTTGAAGAAGCAACAGGTAAACATGATTGGAGAGATGCAATGAAGAATGAACTGGAGTCAATAGAGAAAAATAATACATGGCAGCTGACGAACCTTCCAAAGGGTCAAAAATCAATTGGATTGAAGTGGGTATTTAAGTTAATAAAGAATGCAGAAGGAAGAGTCACAAAACACAAGGCTAGAAGTGTTGCAAAAGGGAATGTGCAACGGAAAGGCATCGATTTTGATGAAGTATATGCACCGGTGGCTTGGTTGGAAACTATTCGAATGTTGTTGGCATTAGCAGCAAACGAAGGATGGAAAGTTCATCACTTGGACGTAAAATCTGCGTTCTTAAATGGAGTTTTACAGGATGATGTCTATGTCTCTCAACCAGATGGGTTTGTCATTGCAGGAAAAAGAGCATATGGTGTACAAGCTAAACAAAGCCCTGTATGGATTACGCCAGGCCCCGAGAGCCTGGAATGTGCGCCTTGATAAAACACTCAAGGAACTAGGGTTTCATAGATGCCCACAAGAATATGCAGTATACAAACGCCAAAAGCTTGACTCGGTACTGATAGTCGGTGTGTACGTACACGATTTAATTGTAACAGGTACAAATGAAGAACAAGTAGCCGTTTTTAAGAAGCAAATGCAAAAGGTGTTTGATATGACTGACCTGGGAAAACTATCTTATTACCTTGGGATAGAGGTACTGCAAGACAACGAAAGCATCACGATCAGTCAGTCCGTTTATGCAAAGAAGATACTACAAACAGCTGGAATGGGAGATTGCAACTTTGCAAAATATCCCGTGGAACCAGGTTTTGGTCTAACAAAGGACGAGGGTGGTGTCCCGGTAAATGCTACTGAATACTGGAGTCTTGTTGGTAGCTTACGCTACTTAACCCACACGAGACCAGACCTGGGGTACTCGGTTGGAGTAGTTAGCAGGTATATGGAGTCACCCAAAGAAAGTCATCTCAAAGCAGTGAAGCACATTCTCAGATACATAAAGGGTACAATCAAATATGGATTGGTGTACAGAAAAGGTGGAGATAGAAAGCTGGTTGGGTTCAGTGACAGTAGCAATGGTATGGATCTAGATGATCGAAAGGGTACAACAGGAACAATATTCTATTTTTCTGGAAAACCCATCACATGGTCATCCCAAAAACAGCACACTGTGTCACTTTCCTCTTGTGAAGCTGAATTCATAGCAGCAACTATGGCGGCATGCCAAGCACTGTGGTTGAGAAGCCTGCTAAAGGAATTGACTGGTTGGAAGCAAGAAAGAGTCAAGTTATATGTGGATAACAGTGCAACAATAGCTCTCATGCAGAACCCTGTATTCCACGGAAGAAGCAAACATATTGACACAAGATACCATTTCATACGAGAATGCATTGAGAGAGAACAAATTGAAGTGGAGCACATCAGAGGAGAAGAGCAGAGAGCTGACCCCCTGACAAAAGCATTGCCAAGAGTTAAGTTCATTAAGATGAGAGATCTTCTGGGAATCGAGAGGCTTGAAGACACAATTCAGAATTAAGGGGGAAAATGTAGGAAAGTAATTCTGACTTGGTCATGTGCTGACCAAGTTTGGAGGAATAAGTGACTTAGTGGTCACCCGTTTTGTGGAGCACATGCAGATGCTAGTTTTTTGCTTATTTAGTTATTTCCTTTCTTTTAAATTGATGTACGTTGTTCTCTTTTAGTGAGTCAGTGAATAAAAAGATAAACAGGGAAG